TAGGAAAATATATATTTAATCAGTGAGACATGTTATGTGGTTGTATCTATTGATTCCTGATGGATAGATTCTGGAGCCACTAAACATGTTTGCAATTTATTGTAAGGATTTCAGGAATCCAGAAGCCTTGATGATATGGGTATATATTTATCTTTTGACCTGATGCCAAGGTTGTAGCTAAGTCAGTGGGAGTATTACATCAGAAAATAGAGAGTATGAGGATATTAGTATTAGAGAACTATTTTTATGCACAGAAGTTAGACGCTATCTTATTCTTGTTTCACTTGTGGTTTATAAAAACTGTGTTGTTATTTTGTAAAACTGGTTTTATAAAATTGAATAGATATGCGATTACTTCTGGTGTATTGAAAGATGATTAATATACTATAATCACAAATTCTTAAGATTTGCAGGATGTAGAAACAAATGTTGCATCTTCTAGATTGAATGATAAGAGAAAATTTGTTATTCCTGACTCATTGTATTTTTAATGTCTATTTTTGGGTTGTTATCAATCAAAATAAGATTCAAAGATTGGTCAAAGAAGGTTAATTACCTAGTGAGGCAGGGGAGCCTAAACCAAACTTGTGAACCCTGTTTTGAAGGATAGATAACTCTTAGGGCTTAATCAGCCAGATGAAATAGACATAAAGGACAATTGGAGTCGGTACACACTGACACGTGTGGTCTTATGAACATCCAAGCAAGAGTACTCACGTTTTGGATAAGTTTATCTGATGCGACACAAGTCTTATACTTTTGGTCTATTCCGAGAGGGTCAAGATTAATGTGGAGCACAGATTAGGTAAACTTATCAAGACACTTCGATCTGATTGAGGATATGAGTATTTCTTGGTATAGTGCAAAGACTATATGGTCAATGAGGGTGTTGTGTACCAGTTTTCCGCAATTGACGCTAAATTAATTTAGGTGTCAAATAAGAATAACAGAATTCCACTTAACATGGTTAGATCTATGATCAGTTATGCCACATTATCTCTTTCATTTAAGAGTTTAGCGTTAATGACATCGATGCGCATTATGAACTGCATTCCATCTTAGTCTGTCTCAAGGATACCGTTGAGTTGTGTTTTTGACTAAATATTAGTTTGAATCATATGCACATATGGGGTAGTCTTGCACATGTGCGCTTGATATGGACAAGTAAGTTGAAAGCAGATCATAGGCATGCTAGATTTGATAGCTACTCTAAATGTCACTAGGATGGATTATTTTATGATCTCAAAGATAAAAGTTAATTGTTTTGACTCACTGTTTATCTATAGGAGAATCATATTATGAATCACATACCTAGTAGCATAATGTTAGAGAATTTGGTATGAGTACCAGATGTACCACATGTGAACACACTTATTATAGAGATTGAGAATAATATATGAATTCCCTATTGATGCGTTAGCATCATCTATTACACAGATTCTTGCATCGGTACATTGATGTAGTGGGAGGATTATCATCCAATTTGACAGAATCATGTTTTTAGGTGAGACCATTATGGACATCCCTGTTAAACATGAGTTGGACCCAGTAAGCTACACGGAAGCGTGAACCGATGTGGATACAGATCGTTTTGGTGAGTTACTATGAAATCAGAGTTGGAATCTATGTATTCTAATAAATTCTGGGATCTTGTAGAACTTTCTAGTAGGGTGATTCCTATGGAAGGCAAGTTAATCTACAAAAAGATACCAGAAAATTTCTTAGTGAATAAATCATGAGTGTACAAGGGAATGTCATTATTTTTCTTAATTCTATATATTGATGACATCCTACTCATTTATAATGACGTGGAAGTTTTGTCATCAATTATAAGGTAGTTGTTCAATTACTTTTAAATAAAGGATTTTCAAGATGTAAGCTATATTCCTAGGATCAAGCTTTTGCAAGATCAGGTTAAAAGGAAAATAGGCTTATCTTAATAATCCTACATTGATAAAGTTTTGACCAGGTTTGGTATGCATAACTCAAAGAATGAGTTCTTGCTTTATTGATATGGATCGCTCTCTCTAGTAAGTAGTTTTTCAAGACTAGCAGAGGAGATTGAGCAAATGAGACTGGAACAATATGTTTCGGCATATGAGAGTCTCATATATGCTATGGTCTATACCAAACAGGACATCCGCTACATGGTAGGGATAGTCAGTAGAGATCAGTCCAATACTGGACTTGACAACTGGTCTATTGTGAAAAATATCATTAAGTACCTAAGGAGAATCAATGATATCATACTCATTTATGGATGTGATGATATGGTCCTAGTCAGGTATGCTAGTTCTGATTTTCAATCAGAAGTAGATACTATGAGGTTCATGACTTAGTGTATGTTCACTTAATGGAAGGGAAATCAGTTGGTAGATTGTCAAGCAGATTTCAACTGTTGACTCAAACCTGCAGGTGGAACATATTGCAGCCTTAAAGGTGGCAATATAAGCCTATTGGTTTGATCTCACTGATTTAGAGGTTGTGGAGCATACTAGCCTGCCTATCGAGCTATATTGTGACAATAGTGCAGAAGTAGTCCAAACCAATGACCCAAGGTTCCATAGAGGAACAAGATACACTGAGAGGAAGTATCATGTTCGACATGATATTTTCCGGCAAGAAAATGCACTTGTAGTTAAAACATTGCATTGGAACACAACTTTGTTGATCTATTATCAAAGGTGTCATTGATCAATAATTTTGATCATCATCTGGATAACATTGGAGTTAGGTGCAATTTGAATTGGCTATGAGGGCAAGTGGGAGCTGTTGGGATTTATATGCCCTGGCATAGCAAATTCCTATCTGGATTGTATTGACATATGTTCCTGACATATCTGAAATATTTATGATTTATATAATTGGTGAATTCAATGTATTATGTTTCAATTCACTATGAAATTGATAGTGTCCAGTTAATTACAAGAAATATTTATATATATGTGATGACAATCAATGCATGATATATAAATAGTAATTATAAATTGTTCATAGTCGGTAATTATGGATGGACTCATAATTAATTAAGACTTGAACTGGATCCGCGTTAGGTTGAGATATATTGCGAGAGCCGTCGTATGCAATTACTCCCTATTACCGTCATGGCATTTGACTCTTAAGCATGAGAAAAGTATAGACTCTTTTATTAATTAATAATTACTTTGATTTGTTCGGCGGATTCTTCGGGATCCTTAGACCGACACTTTGGGTAGTTATGTAATTAATAGTTAGAGGATTATATTTTCAATATTTGCATCATTGCTACTTGTATTTATTTTGTATTGATTATGGTTGATCACAAAGTAAATTCGAAGGCCTTCGTGTGTTTTTAGACAAAATGATTTATTATATATTTATTTATTTAAATTATTATTTTTGTCAAACAAATGTTTTATTGTGATCGAGCCAGAAATAATCAAAGGTACCAAAATAAATATATTAATTAAGTAGTCGGATTGATGGCTATATTTATCCGATAACTAATTATGCATAGAGGGGTCAAAGTGCAATATTGACTTAGAGGTGATTTATTATTTAATTGGAGTTCAATTAATTTCTTTTAGTGGAGTAGAAATTAATTTATGAATTAATTGAATTGGGTCCATGGACCGGGCCAATTATTAATTCATTGTAGCCAATAAAGTAATAGGCCCAATGGATTCTCACTCATAGCCCAACTTGATATTGGAATCATATTAGATTTGAGACATATGAATTAGAGATGGAGAAGGATTTGTTGTTTCCTTTTCTTTATTTTTATGTTGCCTATAAATATACATGGTCTATGTATATTTTAGGGGTGATTTTTATGAGAAGGAAAAAGGAATAAATTTTCTCTCTCTAGAAAATTAGGGTTTATGTTCTCATCTAATGGAGGCTCCCACAAGCCTAGTTTTCCAAGGTCATTCATGGAGGCATATGAGTGACTCCTAAAGGCAAAACAATTACCAAGAAGATGGAGATCCAAGGAGAATGCATCTAGCAAAAGGGATCTACAATAAGTGAGAACATTCACTTTAGAGGAGAGATCTGAGGTTTACTCAAACCTTGATGTAAGTATTCAATCTTTTAGTTAAATAATACATCATATTTTATTTTATTTTTTGCATAAAACTTGTCTCTATGTGATGAATCAAGATCTATGAATTTAAATCCCTCGAAAAGTTTTTAAAACTAGCACGTTTCCCAACAAGAAGAACATTGCTTGGCTTCAAATCGCAGTGAACTATCGGAGTTTGGCAATGATGGTGAAGATAATCCAGTGCACAAGCAACATCGATAGCAATATTTAATCTCTGAACAAGACTGAATTTGTTTGGTTCCTCCCGCTCCTCATATTCTCCTCGAACCGGATGCAACCACTGATCTAGGCTTCCATTCACCATAAACTCATAAACCAGAGCCTTGAAATCATTATTTTGGTGATCCACACTTGAACATGCACTGAGTACTTTAACAAGGTTTCGATGTCTGATGTTCCTCAAAGCCTCGCACTCAGCAATGAAGCTCCTCGAAGCTCCTCGATGCAAAAGGTTAAATACCTTGACAGCAATCTTTTTCCAATCCTGATCAAGAATTCCCTTGTAGACAGACCCAAAACTTCCCATTCCTATCAAATTAGATTCACTGAATCCATTGGTAGCTCTAAATAGACTTTGGTAGGATACTTCAAGAAACAATCTTCCCGAATTCCCTAATGAAGGTTTTTCTTTTTTCTTTTTGCACCAACAAAGAAATAGAAAACACAACACCAATATCAGTCCTAGAAGCCCCAAAACTGTTGGAATTACTAATTTTAAGGTATGAGTGGATTCCTTCTTAGTTGGCTCCCTGAAGTTGCATCTTGGAAGCTTGAACTCAGGTATTCCCCCACAGAGCTTGTTGTTTCCCATGATTGAAGTTGCAGTTGCGTTGGCAAAAACACCTTTTATTGGTACCACCCCTCCGACATCATTATAAGATAGATTCAAATTCTGCAATAATTGAAAGCCCTCGAATTATTTTGGAATTTTGCCAGACAAATTGTTACGAGAAACATCGAGAACTTGAATAGCCCTAAGAGAGCTGAGAGATGATGGGATGCTCCCTTGAAAGAAGTTACCTGCTGCGAGTAAAATCTCTAAACTTGCACAACTACCAAGAGTGCTGGGAATTTCACCTGATAACATGTTATCATTAATATGCAATTGACCTAGATTTTTCAAGTCTCCGATTGCTACAGGAATGGAGCCAGTGAAATGGTTTCGAGAGAGATCGAGACCGATTGATAAGGTAGATAGACTGAAAACTTCTGGGGGAATGGTACCACTAAAGTTGTTGTTAGAAAGGTCCAGGAATAACAAATTTTGGCATTTCTCAAGGCTTGAAGGGATGTTACCATGAAGTTGATTGTTTTCCAAGCTCAATTCGATTACAGCACTCAAATTTCCTAGAGAGGACGGAATGTTTCCAGACAAATTGTTCCCACTCAAATATGAGAGAAGAGAGATTGAAGATTGAGGGAGGGATGATACCAGATAACCTATTTAGTGCTAGAGTAATGATTGTTATGTTAGTAAGTTGGCCAAGAAAATCAGGAACACTCCCACTCAAATTGTTCCCGGTTGTAGAAAGTCTATAAAGAGATGATAAGTTCATAAAAGAATGAGGAATCTTTCCGATTAGATTGTTAAACCCAATATTCATCGACTTTAGCTTTGGCAAGGAGCCAAGCTCCGTAGGAATTTTCCCTACCAGTTTGTTTTTATAAAACGTGAAATCAAGGAGGTTAGAGCAAGCAGATAAATTGGAAGGAATGTTGCCACTAATTAAGTTACTGCGTAGGCTTAAAAGCTGCAGTCTCCATAGAAGGCCAAGTTCTGGAGGGATTTCTTTTTGAAAACTATTGTTCGAGAGATTTAGTACTCTCAGAAAGCTTAGATTCCCGATATGTGGCGATATGGACCCAAACAATTTCTTGGACCGCATGTCTAATATGGTGACCCTTTTGTGTCGGCGACCACAGGTAACACCATACCACTGGCAGAAGTGAATGGAACCATTCCATGAACTCATAACCCGATAAGGATCGTCGATTATTTTGGCCTTGAAGGCCAACAATGCAAGACGATCCGTCTCATTCCCTCTCACCCTGAAGGTGGCTTCAACAGTAGGAAAATTTGCATGCATCATCATGCTCAAGCAACATGCAACCACAACATAGATGGAAATGTTGAAAAGTGAGCTTGAAATGCCCATACCTGAAAGCAAAACTCAAATATGGACGTTGGTGCTCCAGTACTTCCTGCAAACAAAAGAAATTATCAAGTCCTCTCAAAAACTAATCAAGAAACGGATATATGGGGAGCATTTAACAACTAATTAATAACTACATATCAATTGTATGTACCTGTAAACTGGATTTAGTAAGTTCCAAAAAATTTGAGCACAGCTTAATTACTTGAAAAAAAAACTAGAGAAAAAAAAAAACATGGAGTTGTGATAACTAGCCTTGCTAATAGTTTTCCCTGAACTATTATTAAGCCTATTTAAACAAATTTTGTATGAGGACTCAACAGGAAGTCTTCACACTTTCTAAAGTTCTTCACTTTAACAAAAGACTAATTAAACAACTTTTGTTGGAGGACTCAACAGGAAGTCTTCACACTTTTTAAAGTTCTTATCTTTTCCAAAGGACTACTCTCCTTCACACTACTTTTGTTAGTTCTTCTCTTTTCCAAAAGACTACTCTCCTTCACACTAGTTTTGTTGAATGGAGCCCAAATTCCACGTTTGTTCTATTTATTAATATTCACTATATATGTGTCCCAGTGTGTTGCATTTAGAATTGACAGAAAATAGAACAAGCATTATTTTTTTCTAAAACTGCCTAGTCTTACATTTGATCCCACCATGTTTTTTTTTTTTTTTTTTTTTGGTCACCATGTTATTTACATAACTTAAGGTAGTCTATAATTCTTTATGAGGGTATAATTTTTTATACACACAAAAAATTATTCCCTCACTAAATTTTCAGGACACTACGCAAATCGCTCCCTTGCACGGGTTTGGTAAAATTTAAGCTTTCATCTGCGAGCGTAACTTTAAAAAATTATTTGCACTCAAATGTGATCAAATCTTAAACCTCATACTTTAGGAGACATTAAGTCTAAGAGGCTTGGCGAGCCAAACTTAGTCCATCTACGTAATGAAAGAAATGACTATAATCAAAGTACAAACTAAGGCTAGGTTTTGGGCCTTTGGCTATTATATTTGGGCCCTTAAAGCACAAAAAGTAGGTCATAAAGGATTATTTCAAAAAAAATTCATCATATTGTGAACATTGCACTAGTTTTCTTCCATGTAAGCTGTAATGAAAGAAGTGATTTCAATGGAAAGACTTGACAAGGTAGGACATGGATTAATCTCATCTTAATTTTATATTTTTTAAAAAAAATTATTAGATGATTCTCCTGTTACTTTATGATTCAGTCTAATTAAAACTGATTTTTAGTTTTTTTCTTTTTTTTTGTAATATTTTATTAGGCTCTTGTAATTCTACTTTTCTTAATGAGAGAGTCTTTGATTAGACCAACTATAAATGATTCAAAACCATCTAATAATTTCCATCTTTTTTTTTCCTAATTGATACTCACAAACCTCTAGTTATCCATTTAAAGAATGCTAAATCAGATTATTTTAATACAAGAATTATAATTACATGTACCCAATATATCCAACAAAAAGTTTCTTAAAAAGCATACTACTCTAAGGCTCAGTTTGTTTCGACATAAAATAATTTTCTCATAAAATATTTTTTTATTTTTATTTTTCTGTTTTTGAGAAAAGTCTAGGTCAAGTCCATCGGGCGAAACATGTAAAATAACTTGTCGAAAATTGATTAGTAAATTATTATTGTTAGATTTTAATTTTTTTTTCTTCGTAAATATTTTATGATAACTAAAAATCAAAAAATAAAAAATATTTTCTAAAAAATATTTTACATCCAAATAAACAGAGTTTAAAATAAAAAATTTTGAAATTTGAGACATGATTGTCCAAAATTTATCATTACTTCAATGTGAAGCTGATGCTAACAGTATAAAAAGGCCCAACTAAAATGGCAAAAGAAAAACGGACACTGACAAAACGATTGTCCAGGAAACAAATGTGCCCAATCTATCTATGGCCCATAAACTCAGGTTGGCTAAAGATGTTCAATCCAGAATCTGGATTTAGGTTGGCTTAATGGTGTCGGGCTTCTCAGAACACTCCACTATTCATCACCCAACTAATACAATCAAAGTTTAAATAGGCCAGACCCAACCCGACCCATTGCTATCTTGACAGAGAGGCCTATATAAATTTATTAGATATTCAACCAAGAAATTTCACCGAATCATAAGGTGTTCATTGTGCGAGAGCAAACAAACCAAACGACGAGCGACCATTTTCTGGATTTCTAAACCATGTCATCTTCATTCCCTGACTCGTTCGACCAACTCGGTGCAGACTCGCGACCCGCCGCTTCCACTCGGCCGTTCGACGACGACGGCTACTTGGGGTACGATCCTCGCATCGCATCCCAGCGTTTCGACTCTTTCTCGAACTTCGCCGACTCGGAGTCCGTCAAGGACTCGATCGTCGACGACTCACCGATCAACGACGTGTTCGCGTCGCAGCAGATACCAGACACTCCGTCTCCGCCGCCGATCTATGTCTCTGGCAGTGGACACTCACCCTTTTCGCCGGAATTATGTTCGTTGTCGCCGGAAGCGAATGGAACACCTTTCGACAGTGGTTTTGTGGGGTCTAATGGTCCGATTTTGCCCCCTCCGGCAGAGATGGAGCCTGAGGATGGTTTTGCTCTCAGAGAATGGAGAAGGTTAGGTTTTTGCCTTGATTTTTCTTATCCGATTTGTTTCTGTTTGATTTGTTCAGTGATCTATTTGATTTAGCTCACTTTATATTCTTTGAATGGTTTATTTGATTTATTGTCAGTTTATATCAAGATTCAAACTATTTAATTTTGTTTCTGTCTAGTTAATAGGAAAGTACTAACTAAGAAGAAATTATTTGCGGATTGAGACTTGAGAGTTGTTTTTGATTTTTGAGATCTCTTTGTAAAAAAGAGATTTGGCTTGGTTGTGCAATTCTTTTTTTTTTTTTTTTCCAATTTCTTATGAAGTGGAATGAGAGATTTTACTTTCTCTATGCAATTGTATTGGTGGATTTGGGACCTGAATTTTAACATAAACTGAAAATTAGTTTGTAAATATATCAGACCTCCGAGAGTATGAATGATTGACAAATAGAGGATTGAGATTTTTGGTTTTTCCGAGTATGTTGTATAATATTTTTGGATAACTCGACTTATTTTATTTTATTTTATTTGTTTTGGGAAGCAAGCTGAGATTTTATAATATCATCAAACCTTTACAAGATACCAGAGGCAAACCCCATAACTGGGCTTTTTTTCTTTTATTTGCTTTTTTTTTTTTTTTTTTTTTTATATATGCTATTTGAAATTGTTGTAGTTGCAGGCTGATTGGCAGAGTACCGTTATTGTGTAGTGATATCACTATATGCTTGAAAACACTGCTTCTTCTTCTTTGTTCTATTTCTCATGGAAATTGTAATAGAGATATTAGTTTCTTCACATATAGAAGTTTTTCTACTTTTAAACCTTAGGCTATATATTTTCGCTCTAGCTTCTTGTAAGAAGGGCAGAGCCAATTAAGGCCTATGGGGCAAGTGCCCCGCCCCGGACCCGCCCCGCCCCGCCCCGCCCAATAGAATACATGTAGTTAATTTGTATTTTTTTTTAAGTATGTGTGAAAAATTATATATTGCTCCCCCCTAAATTTTTTATTTCTAAAATTATCTTGACTTTTTCTTTCTTTTATTCTTTAAATTTCTTATAAAAAAAATGTCAAATTTCCCTTTTGTGAATCATACTCTAATTTTTTTTCTTTCAAATTTATCTCAATTTTCTCTCTTTTTTCTTCCTTTTCTTTTTTTCTTCTTAAAATTCTTCTTTTTGCTTGTTATATCAACGTTAGTTGAATTTTTTTTCTTTTTTTTCTTTTTTTTCTTCAGCTGTGCCCCCTCTGAATTGAAATCCTAGCTCTGCCCTTGGTTGTAAGAAAAATTAGCCATATTGAATGGCATAACATACCATTAAGGGTTGTAGTCCAATGACTACCTCCCAAAGTGGAAGGGTAAGAGTTCAAATCCCATAGAGTTAAAGTGGGGGTGTGAGTTATTTGCCATGATAATAAATAAATAAAAAATGGCATACTATATGCCAGAGTAATTAAAGTGAAAATTAAAAAATTATTTCTTAAAATTACTTACAATACATGTAGCTTGTTAAATGCTCAGGCAAAACGCAATTCGACTAGAGGAGAAGGAAAAAAGAGAGAAGGAATTGTTGAACCAAATTATTGAAGAAGCTGAGGAATACAAAATTGAATTCTACACGAAGAGGAAGGTCACCTGTGAGACTAACAAAGCCACTAACAGGGAGAAGGAGAAGGTAAGAATGCATGATTTTTACTTTGATAAAGTAATAGTTTATGTTTATATTGCTGCTGTTATTTGTTTATCCATTATTCATATAATAAATTAATATGGCATTTCTACGTTTCTCACTCTCTTAATCACCATCTCAAGGTTATTTCCATGTATCACATCACACGATAGGAATTTTTTTAGTACTCTGTTTTGCATAGGTATATGATTGCTTTCTGTTTTAAGCCTATTGTAGTATGGTGTGTCTCTTAATTTATTTGATATTATTAATAAATTTCATCATGTTCTGGGTTTTTGGATTTTTATGCAACAACAAATATAATACTAAGAATTTCTCTTACCAACCATCCTTATTCTTCTTCCATTTTCATTATTTTATTGAAATTTTATTCTTATGTGTGATGGACCATCTAATTGGGATGGCCTGTGTGTTGGCAATTTGACCAGTGAGATGGCCCATTTCATGGTTTAATGAGTGGTTTTGGTTTCCAAAATGTTGCTAGTAGAAAACTCTCAATAGAGACTGATGGAGATGATGAGGTTGTTGATTGAAGTAGTTCTGCATTGATCTCATAGTTAGTGCTAGGTTAAGTTTTCCTTATAATGTAGGATAGGTGGTAGAAGAATGTTGTAAACATTTAACAATTTAACATTTTGATTAACAATTTAAGTGAGACAATTTTATTTTTATTTTTTGGGAATTTTTTGATTTATTTGAGATCTACAACCTTTAGGCATGTGCAGTTTAGCTAAACTGAATGTTGAAGGGTAATCCTATTGGATATTTAGGCCATTCAGGAACATGGTTCATTATATTTAGATGGGATTTCTATACCTTGATGTATGGTAATGTCTATGGTCGATAGTAATAACTAATATGTACTTGTCAATAAATGAATCATGCATAGCTTGACAAAATAAAACATGGTGATATCACTAATATTATTATATAAAAAAAAAATTTGATAAGTAATAATATCAAAAAAAAAAAATCCTTTACTGATCATCATCTTGAATGAGTAATCAACAAAAGAATCTTTTGAAGGGAAAAATAAATGTCCGATTATAGTATTAAATTTGTTAAATTCAGAGTATATATCATCTTAAAATATTGGAGTACCTATTATCATCTTAAAGGGTTTTTTTTTTTTTTTTTTTTTGTTTGGGGGGAAGTTAAAATGTTACCTAAGTTGATTGAATAAGTAATTAACAAAGGAATCTTTTGAGGGAAGAGTAAAGTTCAACTTCAATACCCTTTAAGTAAATGTGTGGGAAACTTGATAGTGATATACTCTTTATGGGTAATACAAGTTCACAGAAAGTACCATGAAATTTCTTTTAACCTGAGAATATTTCACTACATGGACCACATGGATTGAAAGAGGCCCTCCTTGATTGGGGTGCCTCTAATCTTCACATGCTTCAAAGTGCCCCGAGACGGGTGCATCTCATTTTACTCCCTCTGTCCCATATTAGTAGTCCATTTTCCCCTTTTAGAGTGTCCCAAATTAAACGTCCATTTTGAACTGTCAAACAAAATAAATGCCATCTTTCCATAATTACCCTTCTAATTTTTCAAAAATCTTACAACTTAGTGTTATATATATTTAAAGTTTAAAGGACAACTTAGTAATTTGAAAAGGGGACAATGCATTAATTGCATGTCCCCTTAAAAAGTTATAAAACCAAAGATGGACAACTAATAAGGGACGGAGGGAGTAATGATTTTGTTGGACAATTGGAGTTGAAGTGCGTTGATGAAGGGCTCCACACTTTAAAAATGGAATAGAGTTATAGTTGTTTTGTAGGGAGGAAGGATGGAGTGAAGGAAGGTTTTTCCTTCAAGAGAAAGGGGATGAAAAATGAAGAGGGAAGCCTCTTTCCCCTGGGTACACCAAATATCTTCCTTCTAGATCTGGATGGAAGCATCTTTTTCTCTTTCCAAGTGATTTTCCAATAAATATTATTACTTGCGGTATGGTATAAAGATCCATTCACAGTTCACAAATTACCCATTCAGTTCCTTATTTCATTTCCATTCAACTAAACAAAAAGTAAGGTTCTTTCCTTCCCATAGGGATTTTTATTCTATTCCTCCTATGTTTTCTTCCTTTCAATTTTTCATCCTTTGTATTAACTGAAGTGTTAGTAGGGATTACCTTCCAATTTATGTGCTCCATGTGGTGAGATGATATCAAGTGAGACCCAAAATAAATATAGTATTTTGAAGCTGAGAAATAGAATGAAAGTTCCTGTTTTGCATCGCTCGTTTGTGGAAAATACTGGTGTTATTATGTGTTATGAAAATATTCTCATTATGAATAAAGTTGCCAAATACGTACTTTTTGGTGTTCTCTATTTTCACGTAAGCTAAAATTCTATATATTGTAAATTGCACGCACATATTGCACATTTCGTTGCTCCAATGCATTTCTTAATTTCTATTGTATGGAATGGATTCTTTTTGCATGACTACATATTAGCAGATATCAAATTGTACAAATGGATGGCAGATATTGTGGCATGAGATTCTGTTGTTTATTGAGGTTTGGAAGTGATGTGAACAAAGGACATTTATCTACGGAAATGAAACTCTAAAGTGAAGAAAATAATTGAATAATCATAGGGGTGAAGCTTTATAATCTAATAGTTGGTGAAAAGCACATGTCATATGCACCGGATAACCATAGAGTATTGTGCGTACCTGGCAATGTTAGAAAGCAAATGCAAATGTGAAAAGTATGATCTATTAATGAGAGAGAGTACATGAAAGCCTCTTGTTATTCCGAGTTCAGTTTTGAAGGAGATATGAAGCAAAAAAAAAAAATAAGTTTTGAAACATGGAAATAATACCCTTCCTTACTAACTCCACCCATATTAACTTTGGTCATTCAAGTAAGACCATGTCACACTCTTCCTATATTTTGTGTGTGTGTGTGTGTGTGTGTTTTCTGCTTTTGGAGTTCTAAGGCAGTATTGGAAATTTTGAACTCGCCTTGATGCTTTCAGATTCTCTATGTTTTCTGAAGGCTTATTTTGCTTTGTGAAGTTAAATATTTTGTAACTGATATTGCCATACAACTGGATGAAGGAAAGGCAGCATCTTTAATTGTGGTGCATCAGAACTTACACACTGTATCTGTGATCTTTGATAAGGGGTCCGGCCTATGATGTATCTCTGTTGTTACCAGGAAATTGTACTGCGGTTCCACTTTGCTGAACATGGAAGGATGAAATTTGTTATATAAAGCAAAAACTATCCTCTTAACATCTCAAAAAGCAATATTTATTAGGATAATATATATATTCTAACTTGTCTCTTTCATGTCAGTTATTTGTTGCCGGCCAAGAGAAGTTCCATGCCGAGGCTGACAAAAATTACTGGAAGGCAATTGCTGAACTTGTTCCTAATGAAGTTCCAGCCATAGAAAAGAAGAGAGGGAAGAAGGACAAGGAAAAGACGCCTTCCGTAGTTGTGATCCAAGGGCCAAAACCCGGGAAACCAACTGAACTATCAAGGATGCGGCAGATACTCTTGAAGCTTAAGCACAATACTCCTCCTCACCTAAAGCCTTCTCCACCTCCTGCTCCAGCCACAACCAAGGACGCTAAAACCGGTGCTCCTGCTGCTGCTACTACCACCGCTGGTCCCAAGGCTGCAGCTGTTGCCACCACATCTGAGCCTGTTGTTTGTGCCTGATAGTTGCTGCTCTCTTAGTAATCAGCTTTTGTATGTCGAGATGCTTGTAGGAGTATGCTATTTATTATTTTTCTGTTTCTATATGTACAACAAATGGATCTACAAGGTTTCTGTTCTGCCTCAATGTTACGTCATGAGGTCTATTGTCTGTTAATAGGAACATGTCGGAGTGTGTGAATGAATGACCTTGAAAAGCTCGTGTGCCTACCAATTTCGTGTCTTGGAATTGTAAACCGAGTCAAAATTTTATGGCCGTTGTAAACCTGTATTTGATTCTTGTTAATTACTCAAATCTCAGCTTACCTACCCAGAAAATAAATAAATAAATAAATAAATTTTAACTAATGCAACCCTCAATTCCAATTTTAAGGTGATGATTCCATGCATACAAAACCTTGTGTAAAAAGCATTTTTTACTTTATTTCAGGTATGCGGGAGTGGGAATTACATGTGTTTTAAGAGACTCGACACCAATACCGTCAAAATTTGTGTGTATGACTTCGTAGTTGTTAAATTTTGCTTGGTTTGATCCAATCAAGTTCAAGCCATCACTTATGAATTGAAATTCTATGGGGTCCTCAGATGGGCCAGCTCTTTGAATCTGTTGAAGGCTTTTAGGGTCATGTCTCCCTCCTTTTTTCGTCCCCATGCAAAACGTGAAGAAACTGGAAACCGTGGTTGTGGGCACTCACATGATATGATGATGATATTAAATAATTTAAAGGACTAATAAGTCAGTGGCCTAACTGTACTAGTCTCCTATTTTTCAAAAGGAAATCAAGAGTTCAAGCTTCGGTGGAGACGTGTGTATGAGAGTACTAATTAGGAAGAAAAAAAAAATAATTCAAAGGACTACAGAAAAAAATGAATTTGTGGGCAGAGTTTTGGGTCCATCTACTGAACAATTTCATCAATAATGTTCAAATATAGTACCAGATTGGTACTCTAGGTCTTGGCATTCCCTCTCTGCACTGAACTGAGCTCAAACGGACTGGTGAATTTGTGAATGTGGTCCAGCATCTGAATGGCTGGGTCCAGAAATGACTCATTTATCCAAAAATCCTTCTGCAACTGATCCATGTGACATAACTCAAGGCTGACAATAAGTGGCAATGGTTCAATAGAGCTTCAACCCATGCATTTAAATTTTATGGAGGGAAAAGACTGAAAAGCCAGGTTCACACTGAGCTGTTATACTATGAACCTCAGGTTTGAGGATAAGCACCCACATTGGAGTGTATTGAGGATTTAAATCTGATCCAGTTCCCAAATGATCCTGAAATCCTTCATCTAATACACAGAAAACTCAGCAAAGAAAGTATGACTGCATAAGCAGCAAAATATGCTAACAACTTTTTGTATTCTTATATTTTTCACTTCGAAGTTCCTAACAAAATCAAATAAAATAAAATAATATTCCAGGACATGTTACAGAATGAGCAGCTCTATCTCCACCAGTGACTGAGCTTCTTCCTCAAGTTCCTCTCTTGTTTCCACGTGACCATCACATCAAGGCGAATGCAGATATAGTGGTGGCAGATATAGTGGTGTCCTTTCCGAACCTTTGCACCTTGGGGTAGGAAGCGTGCACTAGTAATTTTGTCAAGTAAGCAAATTGGGGTAGTGGGTAGTCAAATTCAGATCCAGAATAAAAAGATTTTAACATTTTACAGCAAGTTCATAATGCCTCACAACACGGGAAATGAACCAGCAAGGCGGTTCATCTAGAATTGAGATTCTAATAATACAAAAGCTCTGACTGATACGAACTTAACCCAATCATCCACTCAACTTTACATTAATCATAACCCATACCCGTGTCAGCTATACCTGGAAACGAATTTGCTTTCAGCCGTTGTGCTGATACAGATCCAAAATGAAAAGACAAATGGATTTGCAAAGCAGCTTCGTCTGTTAATAGTAGTAGGTCCAGAATATCACCTTCCCTGGACACTGGCAGGAGATCGGACACCTTTCTCACTGTTAAAATCATCCTCTACTTCGATTCCATCTGGAAAGATGCCATTGTTTTTGACACTTACTTCAGAACTGGCATTACTGCTCGTTGCAAGAGGGGAATCTGAAACACTAACTGTCCTGCTACGTGTAGGCCCTGATCTCACGCTGTACATAGAGGATGCTGGAATATTTGTCATTAGTGGTCGTAGATTACCTGGAATACTTCGCCTTATATCCTGCTCAAAGGAAATGCCAAATCAAATATGGAAAAGTTATGAAATATTTCTCTAAATATTTCTATATATATATATATATTAATATGACAAACACTGGAAAAGAAGAAAATTAAAGCAAAATTTTGAGCTTTCACAGATTTAGCAATAAATTTAGGCACCGTGAAAGAGAACCATGTCATGTCATATCAAAATAGGTAATTTGGATCTGAAGTATGTCGATACACCAACACTGATCAGCATTGAAAACTAAGAGTATGTAGTCTCAACCTTTGCTGAATAAACCATTATAACACCATGTGAAATTAAAAAAAAAATTGCATACCATATGCCTTATAGCCATATCCAATGATTTCTTTGAGAGTGTTCTTCCAAAGCCCGAGCTATCTGGAGATGAAGATTTCCCAGATAAGTTACTATGAGGAGAATTTTTGTCATCTTGCTTTGGTGGTGCCAGTTTCCGCATATTTATTACCCGTTCCACCATCTTGGTTCCAATTAGAACAGGGCTCACATTCTCATTAGCTTTAGAATATGCACGACTCATTGCAGGAACAGAGCTTCCACTGCTATGAGTAATGCCATTAGGGGGGCGTCCTCTTGAGGGAGAGCATGATTGTCGTCTAGTCCTCCCATTAGAACCAGCCTCAACAGAAGAAGATCGAGCACTGGGTGCACCAGGCCTCCCTCTAGTGGCTGAAAGTGGCCTTTCAGGAAGTGTGGTTCTTAAATTCGGCGGTGCATCGAGGGAGAAACCTGGCATCTCTGAAGGCTTCCATGGTCTGGATTTTACAGTTGGGGAACTACCACGTGATTGCACTGGATTTCTTGCTGTCATGGGAGCTGACTTGGTAACTGAAGGAGACTTAACAGGAGGAGCAGACGTGTTTGTCACAGTTGACTGTGCGGATGGTCTACGAGTTGGTGTCGCTGCTCTTGATGTTGGCTTGGAAGCAGGAACAGAGGGTGTAGGTGTTGGCGTTGAAGATCTTGTCGTAGTCCTTGACAAAGGAGTAGAGGGTCTTGCGGTAGTCCTCGACAAAGGAGTAGAGGATCTTGCAGTAGTCCTTGACGAAGGAGTAGAAGATCTTGCTGGGATCGTGGGCTTAGTTGAAGGTAATGTAGCCCGAGAAATAGGTGTAGAGGAAGACCTTGAAGGTTTGGACGCGGCAGACAGTGTTGGTTTAGATGTCGCAGTCAACGTGGATTTAGATGCCGTGGTCAACGCAGGTTTTGAAGCTGTGGTCAACGCGGAGCGCCCAGTTGGTGTTGCAGGTCTTGATCCTGGACCCCCTGATGACGATGGCCTGCGAATTCCTATACTTGAAGTATTCAACCCAGGGATTGAAGCTGGCTGTCTAGATGCTAAGTTGCTCCTTGCAGCAGGTTCTGGCTGAGAGTTTGCTAGCTATAGCCACAGTAAACAAATGATTGAAGAACATGAGTTTATGACTTAAGACAGATACAAACGTGTAATTTCCTAAACGATATATTAATTTGTAAGCAACCCTCGAGCTTTCTTAAGAACTGAAACTTCTGTGTAGAAGCACTCCTATTTTTTAGGGAACCCTTACTTAAGGAGTTAACAAGTTTTTTAAAACCTTTCAGATGCTTCTAAAATTTTCAACATTTTTTGGAAACCATGTGCCACTGTGATTTATCATCCATTCAAACATTTGGAGATGCAGTGACTTTTATTGGTTGTTATTGAACTCGCATGCCCATTGGAGATTCTTGGTTTGGCACACCAATGTTTCACAATAATGATTAAAAAGAAAAACCATCATAAAGCTTGTCACACATGCAGAAGGATGAAACAATAATTCAATGGCTTTTAGAAAGTTCTGAATTTAAATAGATGTGATATGCAGACATGTAATCCCAAGTTCCAACCATACTTCGTGTCGATGGATGTCATTAGATATTATATGCCAGCAGTGATGGAAGTTTCATTTAGGAGGGGTGACAAATGATCGCCGAAAGAATCAAATTGCACGGCTATAAACCAACTACCTCACTAGTTTATGTGAGAAATGACACTAAATTTTGTTATTTTTAAAAGTAATATTAGATTTGATTTGGTACATGGGTTTAGAATTTAAATGATTATAAAACTGAATTGGACCTGGACTTTTAACATACTTGAGGTCCAAAGACAATATTAAAGAAATTTATCATGGTCATGATCACTGTAAAAAAATAAAAATAACCAATAATTTCATCTCAAACATCACATTACCAGTTTACCACTAAATAAAAATTATTTTTTAATTTGATCACTAAAGTAGTTTAATATTTGCATCCTTCTATTCTTTTGCAATCCACTTGAAAAAGGAACAAGTGCTCTGTAGAGTGTAAGCTTTTCTTTTTTTAAATATATATATATATATATATATTTGTGGGGTGAGTGTGCTTTCGAAGGATAATTGTGTCAAAACAATAAAAATGAGAGAGCCATTTTTCCAAAGACAGAAGAGTGTTTGAAAATTTTGAGGGTGAAATTATAGTATATATCAAAATAAAAGAAAAGAAAGATGACACGGCTTATTATGGCTCCTGACAAGAGAGAGAGAGAGAAAGAGAGAGGTTATGGGGAACCTGGGGGCAATTATATATAGAGTGGTTATGGGGAACCTGGGGGCAATTAGATATAGAGGAGTTTAATCAAATATTCAGTGGGGGCATTATTAAAATTTTAGCGAAATTGAGTATCTAATGTAAATAAAAAGAATTTAGTGGGGATGTACCCGCTCAGCAGTCGGCCTTATGTGCATCTGCCCGTGTGCCAGATCCTCAGAAATTTTGCAATGCACATTTGGCTTTACCATTATTGGAAAACATTTAAAAGAAATGGGTACATTAATAGTTACACTTATTTTTTATGATTATTTCACCAGGTGCTTAATTCGTATTGTATAAAAATTGTAAATCTACCAACTTTCAAATTTTTATACTAATACAATCCCATAACTTTAGAATAAAGACTGCTAGCTAGCAAAGAAGTAAAAATTATCAGTCTTACTCTAGATTTCAGCACTGTAGGGTGAGCTTTAGGAGTTCCAATCTGACTCATAACTGTTTTCTGTGATTCCATCTCCAATGAAGGAAAAAGAGGAGTGCCAGGAGGTGTTAGAAGCCTGAGAAGTGAGAACAGAAGAAGCATAGAATCAAATAACAGCGTAAAAGACATTATTGGCCTGCATCTTTTTACATTGACATGAAAGAATAACTCCTTTTTTTTTGGATTAGTGTAATATGCAACAACAATAACTTGAATCTAATCCATCAGAAAAAAGATTTGAAGTCCATTAGACACATGCCGGCAATGTGCAGGAACTTGTCCAGGATTATTTAAATTATTTGCTGTTTGGCTCAAAAAAATAAGAAAATTTAACAAACTAGTTCCCACCATGCATTTACTTCATCAGGAATCATATCCCCAGAGTGTGAAAGGATATTTGAGACCATTTCATAATTCATTTGATACAGATGACTACGGTATAACTAAAGGTGGAGATAAATGCAGAACATTTGTGTTTAACGACATTCCCCTTTCACCAAACCTCTTGTTTAAATTTTATTGACCTGTAAAATATTCAGTTTATAAGGGGCTGCAGTTGGTTTTGTCTGAGTAAAATATTCTGTTTGTGCCTCTTAAAGAGCGGGGAAGAAATGCAGGGAAGAATTTTATTATTTTCCTTTTTTTATTTAAGGGATGGATGATCGAGAAGAAGGTGGTTTGAACACTATATCCAAAACAATATGACTAGTCTACAGCTCTGGGTCAACATAACAAAAAATAAATAAATGACATTCAATTATATACAATAAATAAATAAATAATTGAGGATCTACTGAAAAGACTTGCGTGTGAATTGTAAAAGTAATACAGATTTGCAACAAAAGGGAGGAATCAATGACAATGGATATGGCAAACTAAGTTGAGGATTGCGATAGAACTCCACTAGATCAAACCTATGTATTAATCAATAATTTGCTGGGTCAGCAAAGCATAGTCATTTATATCCATCAGCTGTGCCTGTTACTGAGAAGGCTTACTTACGAGGCAGTGACAGCACAATTTCTATTGATGTTGTACATTTTTTGAAAAATTACACCCTATATTCTAGTTTTTAGGATATGGCAAAAACATACAGGTTGACCCTAAAGAAAAAAGTCAAAAACCTTTATTATAAATTTAAGTATTAAGTTAAATTTTCTTATTCTACAAGGAAAGTTTGTTTTGCAAGAAGAACGGAAAAAAAACTAGTTCATTTATCCTTATAGCTCTTCTTCTTGAGGCAATGATGACTCCAACATAATTTCTAATAGGAAGTAAGGAAATAAAATGAAAACTATTAAAACAAGTTAAGCATTTGAGAAAAGTAAGAGAAGCCACCACATCACCAGTCATAATCATTTTTCTCATTGTCAGAATTGAGGAAGTCATCAGCTCCAGTCCTGCGAGCCGGGGTTGATGATGTAATACTGAATATGGGAGAACTGCCTGGTTTTGATCCTGCAAGTAAGAAAAAATATGTCCCGAAAGCAATTTCAAATTCTCAATACTCAAAGAAGCACGTAGCATAATTAGTTAAGAGACATGACAAGTCAAGTGATACTGGGCATATCTCGATTTAACCAGTTCAAAAGAAACAATTTTTAGGATTACAAAAATAAATTGCATTAACTCAACAAATTGCTAAAATTCAAACAAAATATATAACAGATTTACAGGTCTGTTAACAATAATTTAATAACACAGAAAAAAACAAAATCGAATCAAATCAGATCAAAACCTCAAAATTTCCAAATTTTGAGCAAAGTTATATCATATGAATTCTTACCTAGCGGAACATCAAACTCTTCCGAGTTTTGAAAGAAAAGATTGTTCTGCTCCTTTTCGCGTTTCCTCATATCGAGAAACAATGCGAGCTCATCCTCCTTCTCCTTCATCATCGAATTCATGAGACTCCCAACTTGCTGCCTCTGCTTCAACGCGGCCGTCATTTGCGATTCCGGAGCTCTAAAACTTCGATTCATTCCCAAATCAATCGTCTCTAAAGCTTAAGCCGTAAAATGACGACTAATCACTCAATAAACCTTACCAAGACTTCTTTTTCCGGTAAACACAAGCTATCTAACACAGAAAAGAGCAAAGCATCGAATCTTCAAACTTCAACCCTAATTTATCATTCACAGATCAAAACACAATCTTGCGTACATCAAAAGGACCATCAGGTAATCAAAATCAACAGATCCAGATCTGAAATTGAGCTCGAATGGTTTGAAATTTGAAGCTAAACTATCAGAAAAACTATTGCCATTCACGTTCTTCCCGAAAAATCGAAACTCTCTACCTTCCAGTAACAGTACTAGAAGCCGCAACCTAGATAAATATACATAAATATATATATATATAGAAACTTGTATATGAATTTGTTTGTCTATAGAAAAAAGCCTTAGCAAGTCGTTGTCGCCAAACGAAATGGAGATAGAAAGAGAAACCTAGAGAGAGAGCTAGAAATAGAATGGAGGGAGATCACCGGCGAGAGAGAGCCGAGGGAAGGATGACAGTAGTGGCACTGAATGTTATTTATTGGTTATTTGGAGGCTGAAACGGTAGACGAGAGATTTCCGGAGCTTTTTCCTCGTCCGAGACGGGACAATGGTGACATCTATCAGTTTCTCTCACTTAAAGGCGACCTTTCCATACTGTTGCTTTTAGACGTATAATGACGAAAGCACCCTCCATTTTTGTTATTTATTGTTTTTGAATTTTGGGTTCAGATTTTGCTATGGTGTTCCTTAATTTTGCGTATTTCGAATTATTCCCCCCATATAAAATGGTTTTTTTTTTTTTTTTTCACTTCCTATATAAAATGGTTTATGAATGCAGGCATTTCAAAAGTTACATAAAGACATAAAATGAAACGACGTCAAAAATTATTTCAGCCACTTGAAATTATATGAATGACAAAAAAATTTTGTACTACAAGTACATTTAAATTTTCAATAAGAAAATCAGATTTAGATGTTGCTAATTTTCTAACATGTAACTTGAGTGAGTCAATCTAAAGCTTCTTAGGCATGTTTTATACCCACTGGACCCAACTCGTGATTCCACTCTATCAATCAATTAATTGAGATATTAATGGCTTATTAGTGGTTTGAAAAATACACCATGTCACGTCTTTAATTCAAACGACTCGATATATGAGTAAAAATAAAAAATGAATCGAATTTGACACTCGAGTACCCGAATGCAGAAGTAAATTTCCCTTCGTCAATGAGGTTAACGAAATCCACAACCCCACATGAAATAATGAATCTCAATACCCAATCATTTACTGACCACATGCCACACCAAGGCATAAAAGAAAAAGCGAATCCAGTAAAGATGTCACTTAGCCCACATTTGCACATAAAACTCATAAAAGAAGATATGTGTGAAAATTAAGATTTTCCCACTCTTTCAGCTAATTTATTTTCTTACTCATGTAATCTTATTTTTTTAAAAAAAAAATTAAAATGAAAAATTATTTTCAAAGAATTATAAAAGATAATTTTCTAAAAACAAACAATTTTTAACTAAATTTTTAAAAATACGAAATAAATGTTACTAATGTGAGTTTAGTTAGAAAAACTTATATATATTTTGTACACCAATTGGACTCTCAACTATTGATTTCATTTCATCAATCAATTAATTAAAAGATCAATAAGCCCACAATTTCGACACAATTGAATTGAGATAGCTTTTTATTTTTAATTTGAGAGTTTAATATAATTAACATGTTAGCTTAATTCTTAATCAAATATGATTTTAAATTAAATTAATTCATGGTGGTGGTGTACCAACTACCAAATACTACTATTTCAAACTTTAACTAATTTCATCAACCCTTTAATAGCATAAAAAGGAACTTTTGTTGACTGTATATCGAGGAATTCATCTAATGAATAAAATAGAAATTAATATTTTCTAAAGGCTAAATCTAGCTCTCATTTCACAAATATAAGTGAAATTAACGCCGATGATGTAGAGAAAATCATGACTAGTTGGAAAATACCCAAAGCTAAAGTTAGTGAATTGTATCTTCAGTTTGAACTAAAACAGAGATTCTATTAAGACTGTTGAACAAGATTTACCCCTTACTAATGCCAATCACATTTTTCAATTATTAAGCAAAATTGCTTTAGATAATTTGAAAGACAAGTATAAGTAATATCCATTTCGGGTTAGTAGGATTTAAAACAATGATTGTTGATGGGTTAGATACGTCCCTCTTGGTCTATCTTAGAGATTGTCACCATCTAGATTTTGAAGATTCTCTTCTAGACATGGTGAAAACTAACTTTCGACAAGGGCCAATTTATTTTAATTGCTACTTTATTTATTTAGTTTCTTTATTAGACTCACATATTTGCGATGTTCTAACTCTTATTAATATCCAAACTCTAGAAATATCGTATGAAACAAAGCTATTGTCGCTATTCCTAAAACACTCAAATGGAGTGATATTACCTCTCCTGAATCCTTTAAAGTGCTACTCGATCTGATCCACCTCAAAGGAATTAAATGAAAAGTATTATTGTTGATGGTGAAAGAAATGTAGAAATTCGATTTACCCCTCGTATCAACCAACATAGACCATCAACCCCATAATAGTATAAAAAGGAATTTTGGTTTGTCTAGTGATGAGATAAATTGGTGCAGCAATCAAAAAGTTAGCTCGGGGAGGAGGTCAATCATCAGTGACGGATTATTCCTAGAATATGCAAGTAGAATATTTAAACAACGAGCTATGCTATAAACAATTATTAGAGTCTCTAATGAATAAAAATAGAATCTCTCTTTTAATTAGGTTATATCTTTTAATAATTGTCAAATGAGTTAGTTAGAAAACCAATCTAGATTTCTATCTTTTTTTTTATGAACAAATGCATATGGCACAAATAGTGATACATGAATTTGACTAGACCAATTTAGGCCCGGGACACAGCAAACCTAAAAGTCCAAAAAAAAAAAAAAAAAAAAACCAACTTGACTTTGAGCAACTTGAAGTCTATTTTATATTTTGGAAATTTACCCAAATGCAATTAATTTTTATTCTATAAATTGACTTTATTTTATAAAACACAATTTTTTACAAGTAGAGTTTAGAAAGCCCTTAATGACTCTCATACTAACTTTTAAAAATTGAAAGTTACTGGAAAAAAATATACATAAAGTATAATTTTCACATATATATAGTCAAATTTATGCTCTGTGTTTTAAAATATAACTCATGGTTAAAATATTCCGACCATTTGAGCATGCTTGGTATTCATTTCGTTGCCGAGAGTTGTGATATCAAAAATCTGGAACTTCACCATGGAGCACCTGTGAGGCAACATAAGCGCATACTTAACGCTGTAAAATAAAAAAATAAAAAAAAAATGTACCATGTATCTCGATGCCACAAACACATTTATGATGATCCCTTCAAAGTATCCTAAACGGTTTAGACCTCAAAGACACTGTTACATGAAATTAGGGAGCGTTGGTTTGGTAACTAAATTTCGAGGATGCTAGAAGGAAGATCTCACTTGGTTTGATTAGGGCTGCAAGTTGGACGGGCTAACCCAGCCCAACCCAACCCCAACCCAAGAATTTTGAAATTTGGACACACAATTCACAAATCGGGTTCATGTTCGGGTTGGGTTTATGGGCTTTGAACTTTTGATTCTTGCAGACAGATCTGAAATATATGGGTTTTGAACTTCTAATTCTTGTAGATTTTGTAGTTTGAAGTTGCAAAGAGAGAGAGACAGAGAGTTGAGAATGAGACTGGACGATTGGGGAGGCTGAAATGATTTGCCCTAATTTTTTTTTGTTTTTTTTAATAATATATAGATATATCTATATAATATATATATTTTCGAAAAAATATATATATAAATAAATTTTTTAAACTCAATCCGTCAACCCGACCCATCAGGCCCGAAAATATTCGGGTTGAATTTTTACTATAACTCATGTTAGGTACAATTCGAGCTGACCCAACCCAACCCAATTTAGGTTGAGGTTGGGTTGGGACTAAGCCAACCCAACTTGCAACCCTAGGTTTGATAGAATGCGTAGGTACCTTTTGGTCTATCACAAATGAAGGATTGACATCGGTCTCCCCCCAAGGCAAAGTAAGAACCCAGATCCCTTTTGTGTGGAGGAGGTCCTGTGTGCACTCCGTGCACGAAAAATAATATTGTTTTGATACACAACACAGATCAATGCGAGTCGCGTGGAGTCCTAATGCGATGTCCACATTGAACTACGCACTTGTGCACCAAAATGGCACACTTTTACAGCACGACTCCTTCCACACAAGAAAAGGATCTCATTCGACAGACCCTCCAAACTTTTATGTCATAATTGCAAACCTTCCTCTGTATTGTAAGTGTATTAAATGTTTCAATCGTTTCTTCCCCTATTCTGACTTGCTTGCACAATCATTCTATCTTAAATTCCTAAAAGCCACATCCTTATTAAACAAATACCAAATGATAATGCTTCGCACGACTAGTTTTATCCCAATATAAATAGAAAATTAATGTTTCATTTACGACAATCAAAAAAATGAATAACATTTAATGATGCAATTATGCTTTTGACGAAGACCACGAAAGACACCCTCATGCCCTTCCTCGAGGTGGCCTCTTGAGCCCCTTTGTGACAGCTTAGACTTCTACGAAGGTCTCTACTATGTGGTATTATTATAAATTGCAAGAATGGTCTCATATTAATAAGACACAATCAATATTTATGTTGAGTATGAATTTAACTTTAAAGAATTATCAATGGTAAGTGGTTTAGTGGTAATTTTTATTTTTCAAAAGGAGATCAAGAATTTAAGTCTTTATAGAGACATGTATGTGTGAGTATCAACTAAAAAAAAAAAAAAAAAACTTTAAAGGATTAAAAAAATTACTTTAATTTATATTTCACACAAAGAAAGTGATTATGATCCTCTTTCTTCTTTCTTAAGAAGAAAGAGGATAAAATTAATGAAATATACCGTTTTAAAATAAATTTTAAACTATAAAAATTTTACCTTTAAGTTACTTAAAGTCAATTCATATAAATAAATAAATAAACAAAAAGTTGATGTTTAAGAACATTGGACATTCAAAGTAATAATAAAACAAGATGCTTTAAAATGACCCACGACTATATATGTATTTTTATCTATAATATTTATTGAGTAATACTATTATACAATTTTATTTATTTTTAATTTCTATAATAAAAATTATTCCAAAAAGTATCATTGTATATTTCTCGTGTGACCTGATTTTTGTTATACAAGACTTTTATCAGCAATATATTCTTTTAGAATTGTCATCTAAAATAATTAAATTTATTTTTAAATTATAGATACATCCAGAAAACATAGATCAATATTTATAAATAGCAAAGGTCTCTACCATGTGGTCTTATTATAAATAGCAAGAATGGTCTCATATTAATAAGACACAATCAATATTTACGTTGAGTATAAATTTAATTTTAAAAGATTACCTATGGCTAGTGGCCTAGCAATATTCTTTATTTTTCAAAAGAAGGTCAAGAGTTCAACTCTTTATGGAGACATATGTGTGAATATCAATTATGAAAATAAAAAAATAAAAAAAATTACTTTAATTTATATTTCACACAAAGAAAGTGATTATGGTCCTCTTTCTTCTTTCTTGAAATATACCATTTTAGAATAAATTTTAAACTACAAAATTTTTACCTTTAAGGCTTTAAGTTACTTAAAGTCAATTCATATAAATAAATAAATAAACAAAAAGTTGATATTTAAGAACATTGGACATTCAA